GGAATCCTTTTATTTGTGTGCATTTATTTGTGTGTCTTGGGGACCCTTCCATCATTTGATCCTCCAGCGTGAGGGGGGTGACGACTCTGGGGGGCGACTGTCCTTGCCCGGGCCAGGATCTCTTCCCAGGTGTCCGGGCTCCCTCTTTCTCTTCCTTCGACGCATCCCCCGACCCCCCCTCGTCTACCCACGCTGTGCTGCCCCCCCTCTTGGACGCCCCCACTTGGACGGCCCACATCGAGCTGCTCACCTTGGAACTCTCTCACCCGGGGATGCGACGGGCCACCCTCCATCCCGCGGGCCTCCTGTAGGACAAGGAAAATGGCACACCATGGCTATGCCATTGTATCTTCCTCTGTCCGTTGCGTGGTACCTGGCCCCGAGCCAGTGGGCCAGTTTGGGAGGTCACCGCGGCGATCTGGCGGGCACAAATCGGGGTAAGGTTTTCGTCAAGGAGCGCATTCCCCTTCGTAATTAGACCCCCCCGCTCTGTGAAGCCGACGCGGCTCACACTTACCAGTGGCGACAGAGAGTTGCCTTTTTACGTGCAACATGGGCAGGCGTGTTCTTTGGTTGGGGCCCCACTCTCACGCGATCATCCGTGCGAGTGCGGGCGGGGTGGCTTGTGTGGTGCAGGCCGCGCCACCAGCGCGCGACCTGAATGGGGGGGCTCCCTCTGAGCATCGCGGCCGGATCGCTCCCGGCGCCCCCCGCGCCGCCGGCGCCGTCGGCAGGAAGCTCTCGGAGGTGGACAGACCTCCTGCCCTGACACGTCAATCAAGGTATTGGCCGTTTTCGGTTCGCGAGAGGGTGTCGCGGCCGTTATTTTTGCGGGTCCAGGTCTGTCGGTTTCGGTCCCAGGCTGGTTTCACTAAGTGGAGGTTTACTAAAGGGAGGTTTGTCCCCCGCCGAAGCTCAGTCCGAGCAGTCGGCGGCGAAGTCCGAACTCTGCTCTCGCCGATCAACGGTTCAGGCAACTCGATGGGCAGCGGGGGCAGGTTTCGGAAGTCGTCGAGCACGTGGCGGACTCCGAGCCCCAACCCTGGATCCCATGGATTCAGGAGAGTCGATGGTGGGTGGGCGTAATTTGGGTTCGGATGCCGCCACCTAAGCAGGGCCATGTCTACACGTCCTCAGTGCCTTTTTCTTCGGGGGCACGAGGTTTCGGCGCTCGAGGTTTGCAGTTTTCGGACGGTCTCCTCGGTCCTCGGCAGTTCTCCAGCCTCGGGACGCTCTCTTCAGCACTAGCGCCTCTGACAAGAGCTGGCAAGAGCCTACTGAAGGTGCCCGGGTCGTCCCAAACGGCCGCCGTGGTATTGTCTTTTGTGCACTCAACGAGTCCTCGAGACCCGCCGCGGTGGGGGAACGTTCCTGGACGTGTCGCGGAGGCTTTCCTGCCACTGCGTTGATGCTGAATTACACTGTAGATGCCTCGCTGTCTTGTGTCTTTGTTGTGTTCTTGGTCGCTAGAGCATTGGACACGTGAGCGGAGCTGCACTGTCAGTGGCATGCCTTCCCGTGGCTTTGCTGTGTCCCTGCTCTGAGCGTACATCGCAGAAGGCGGCGGAGAGCTTGAGAGACCCATCCAACACAGTGCCCGAAAACCGAAGCCCGTGTCAGGAGCAACGCTGAGGAGGCATAGACGGTGACGGGCCGCTCGGTGAGGTCTCTTGGGGTTCCGAGGTCACCGTGCGGTCCGTCACCACACGGGGTTGGGACCCCCGACCATCGGAGGCGGCTACGATCAGATCTGGCGAGGCCGTTGGAGAAAGGTAACGCTGGACAAGGAATCCAGGGCCTGCAAACCTGGTGGAGCACCAGATGAGGCTTGGCCGTGGATCTCACCGCCGCCGCCATCATACTCGGGCTGGGCGAAGGGGGGGGATAGCAAAGGGGGGGTTTGAGAATCAGCTCACGTAGCTGATTTCCCCAGCGCCTCCCGGCGCTGGAGGCGGCCATGCATCGAGGAATGGGCTCCTCCGTGGGACCGAAACCAGCTGCAGGCAGCAGATTTATTAACCCCCCCTTTTCCAATCCCCCCCTTCCCGTTCGTCCGGCCCGACGTGCGCGAAGCCCTCCGGGGCCCGAGGCCTCCCGGGCACGATGCCCTGACGTGCGCCCCCATCGCAGGCCCCGCGGGGAAAAGGAGGCCTGGCCGCGGACGTCCCCGCCGCCGCCCTCACACGAGAAGAAGCCCCTCCAGGGTATGAGGCCTCCTGTGGGCACACTGCCCTGACGCGCGCCCTCCTCGTAATTTTGCCCCGCGGGGAACACTGGAGCACCAGCTGAGGCTTGGCCGTGGTCATCACCGCCGCCGCCATCGTGCGTGAGAGCCCTCCGGGGCCCGAGGCCTCCTGTGGGCACAATGCCCTGACGTGCTGAAGGGGCCCCAGGACACACAAGTAAATACACACAAACAAAAATGATCCCCATATTTTCCCATATTGTCTGGGTTCACTTCCCATATTTTCCATATTTTCCTGTGGTATCGGGGATTAATTGTGTCTGTGTGTTTCTTTTCCTCCTGACGTGTGCGCTCCCGTCGCAGGCCCCGCGGAGGGAACAAATGGCGGGGGGCAGCGCTGGTCGGCGGCGTGCGCAGGGGAGGGGGCAGGGCAGACCGGGCCGGCCGCTTCTCAAAGGGCGGGGGCATTTGTTTTTTGGGGCTTCCAACTCCTTTGAAGGGGCCCCCACTCCTTGTCTTCCCGCCCACTTCCCATATTTTCTCATATTTTCTGGGGAATCGAGGAGTTTCGGGCTCCCTTTCCCAGAAATCAAAGGCGCAGTGGATATGGATAGAAGGCTGGCCCCCAGAGGCCCGGAACCCGCGGAGAGTCGGGTGGCCCTCCAGACGGTGTGGTGACCACCCCGCGTGGTGAGTCCAGCCCTCCCAGATGTCGGGGGCGGAAAAGAGGGGGGTGATGACTAGGGGGGGGGGATATCATGGCGTGGGGCATGATATTTCCCCAGATTTCGTGGCGCCTCTTCTTATCTCATTACGTCCCTAGCCCCCCCGCTGGGCCGCGCACATGCCGCCGGTCATGATTTGCACCCCCCCCTCTTGGACACCCCCCTCTTGGCCGCTCCCGAAGATGGGGCCCCCGAGTAGATGGGTTCGAAGGGTCGGGCCGCATCGCCGATGCATCGGCGATGCAGCTCGATGTGGAGCCTGATTCTCCCCACCGCCGACGCCGTCGATGGCTCGCCTGCGTCGCCGGTGCATCGGCGGTGCGCGCGATCCACCTGACCCCATCTACTCAGACCCCATCCAGTGAGTCAGCGGAGATTCGGGGTCACTGCGCGGTTTTGGGACTCGGGTCGTTCTCCGAGGACGTCTGGGGCGACCAGGGCCTCCAGGATCCCCAAACCGTGCGGAGGTCTCTTGAGGTTCCGTGGTCACCGTGCGGTGCGGTCCGTTACCACATGTGTGCGAAAAGCGCTCTCGAGGATAGCCACGACGGGAGCCAGCGCTGCTTGCCTACCGTCCGAGGAAAAAGTTCCTGGAGGCCCTGTCAGTGGGGACAGCGTGGCCGAACGTTTGGGCCAGGAAGTTACGGCACGCGCGGAACTTCAGAACCTGGGGTCTTTGTGGCACGGCGACACCCCCAGTCCATCTCGATCAGCCTGGACCGTCGCGAACCTGTCCCAGTCGTCGTCCAGACGGATGTGGAGGGCGTTTTAGCAAAGCCTAGGATCGGTGAGGTCAGCGCGTTCAGTTGAACAGGAATTTGCAGATGGGCGATGTAGTATGGAACGTGGCCCCTGCGAGGGTAATCCGCTCGTCACTGGCCGGCGATACCGCGACGACCTCATCCTGATTGCACGGAATTTGGAGGAGCTGTGCGCTTTGGGCAGGTGGGTTGACAGGGTCATGGGGAAGGGAGCAGAGACCAAGGACGAGCAGGAGGGTTTTGATGATGATTACGATGTGATTGATGATGATGATGATGATGATGATGATGATGATGATGATGATGATGCTGATGCTGATGCTGATGCTGATGCTGATGCTGATGCTGATGCTGGTGTTGATGATGATGATGATAAGTATGAATATGACGCAGAGAATGCAGATGATTAAGATGATGAGTATTATGAAGACGATGAAGATGGTGATGCTGATGATGGTGATGCTGATGATGATGATGATGATGATGATGGTGGTGGTGATGATAATGGATGCTGAGGAGGAGGAAGAGGAGGAGGAGGAGAAGGAGGAGGAGGAGATGGATGAGGTGGAGCATAAGCTGGTGCTGGAATCCGTAGGCGAGAATCGAGCTCACACGTGCTGTTGCTGCTGCTGTTGCTACAGATGTTGATGCTGCTGCTGATATGAATAACAATCGCACTAATAATGATGCTGCTACTGATGATACTGATGCTGGTGATCGTGATGGTGATGGTATGATGAGGATGGTGATGCTGATGGTGCTGCTGCTGCTGCTGATGATGGTGATGATGATGATGATGATAATGATGATGATGATGATGATGATGGTGATGCTGCTGAAGATGACGATGATGATCAGGATGAAGAATGGCGTCGGTGTTGATGATTATGGTGATGATGATGATGATGATGATGATGGTGGTGGTGGTGATGATGATGATGATGATGATGATGATGATGATGATGATGATGATGATGATGATGATAATTATGATGAGGATGCTGATGATGATGATGATGATGATGTTGATGTTGATGATGATAATGATGATGAAGATGATGCTGCTGATGATGCTTCGTATGATTATGATGATGATTACCCACGCGGCTGAAGGGGTCAGAAGCTCCCGGCTCGGACTGCCCCTCGGACCGAGTCGTTTCCTTTTGGCCCTGCGCAGGCAACGCTCAGTCTCGTGCCCAAGGCACCCTCGCAGATTCGCCTGAGTGTCGAAAGGCCGCCCCCAGCCCCAGCCGAAGCAAGCAAGATGCGACATCCGAACAGTCACGGCGACTCAGCCAACGACTCAGGCACCAAGCGCTGCCAGAGACATCAGGCGAGCTCAGGGTCGTCTAATGCCTGAGGGGCCTTGAGTGGGACCCCCAGGAGAATGCTGGCCGCCGCGAGGGCGATGCGGGAGGTGGCCCCCGCGAAGCAGAGGCCCACGTCCTCGCCCTCTTCCAGGTCGCGCTCGCGCTTGTATTGGCCGTTGAGGTCTTCCCGCCTGCCCTCGCACAGGCCCTCTTCCTCGACCAGGTCCAAACCGAACTTGCGCTTGCGCATGCCTTTCAGGTCCTCCAGCCTGCCCTCGCAGAGGCCCTCTTCCTCGACCAGGTCCAAACCGAACTTGCGCTTGCGCATGCCCTTCAGGTCATCCAGCCTGTCCTCGGAGAGGCTCTCGTCCGCGCCCAGGTCCAGGCCGAACTCGCGCATGCACGGGCCCTTCGGGTCCACCAGTCTGCCCTCGCAGAGGCATTCGTCCCCGACCAGGTCCAAGCTGAAATGGCGCTTCTGCATGCCCTTCAAGTCCTCCAGCCTGTCCTCGGAGAGGCACTCGTCCTCGTCCAGGTCCAGACCGACCTCGCGCTTGCGCAGGCCCTTCATGTCGGCCAGCCTGTCCTCGCAGAGGACCTCGTCCCCGTCCGAGTCCCGGCCGAGCTTGCGCTTGAGCCTGTCCTTCGGGTCCTCGCGCCCGTCCTCCCCGACCAGGTCCAGGCGGAACTTGCGCTTGTGCATGCCCTTCGGGTCCTCATCCAGCTTGTCCTCGCAGAGGTTCTTGTCCTCGTCCAGGTCCAGACCGAACTTGCGCTTGTGCAGGCCCTTGGTGTCCCCCCGCGTGCCCTCGAAGAGGCCCTCGTCCTCGCCCAGGTTCCTCCAGGTGGGGAGGGTTGCCGTCTTCGGTGGCCTCCCCGACGCTCCGCCGCTCCGCCAGTGGCGTGGGCAGCGTGGGTTCCGCCGACGGGTCCCCGACGACCCTTCCTGGGGTGACCAGAGGCTCGTGTCCTCGCCCAGGTCCAGACCGAGCTCGCACATGCACGGGCTCTTCGGGTCCTCCAGCCTGCCCTCGCGGACGCCCTGGCCCCTGTCCAGGCCCAGGCCGAACTTGCGCCCGTACACGGCCTTCAGGTCCTCCAGCCCGTCCTTGCAGAGGTCCTCTTCCTCGGCACCGAGAGCCTGGCAGTGCTCTTCGGGTGCAGCTTCGACGTCGCCGAAGGACACCGCAGCCGCCTCAGGGAGCAGGGGCAGCCAGCCCAGGCGGGGGCCTTCGGCGGCCCGCGCTGTGCCCGCTGCGGACGCGCGCGCGAATCCGCCCGCGGGGGCCAGCAGCGCGTGCCATGCGGCGTTCCGCCGCCGCTTCGTTGCGCCAGGGACGCGTCCTCCCGCGGCGGCGAGGCGCCAGGCAGGGCACGCAGCAGCCTCACGGTCTCGCCAGGAACCCGGGCCGCCTCTGCCCGCCTTGCTGACTTGCTGCCTCGGCCGCGAGGAGGCGCCGTGCCCGGGCCCGGCGGCGGGCCGCCGAGGCGCCTACCTCGGCCTCCTCCTTCCTGCGCAGCGCACCGACCCGCCTGATGGGCCGCCCCGCCATCGCTCCTGCGGGCAGCCCCCCGTAGCCATTGTGCATCTCCCAGTTGCGCGCCGCTGACCGCAGAGCGTGGGCGCCTGCAAGAGATCTGGAGAAGACACTTGAGCCAAACTGGCTACATAATTATGATGATGCTGCTGCTGATGCTGATGCTGCTGATGATGATGATGATGATGATGATGGTGGTGGTGATGATGATGATTATGATGATTATGATGCTGCTGATGATGATGATGATGATGATGATGAGGAGGAGGAGGAGGAGGAGGAGGATTAGGAGGATCATGATGATACTGATCATGAAAAGAAGGAGAAGCAGGAGGAGGAGGAGGGAGGAATAGGAGCAAGAGCTTGAGGGAGAGTAGCTCCAGCGTGAGGCGCCAACCCCCTGGTGTCTGCAGCTCCAGTGGGGCCGCGCATGCCGTGCGAAGCTCGGCACGGGGCCTCCGCGAGTCCTCCAGCAGGGCGCCTCCATCCCCCGTTCTTCAAGAGTAATTCGGAGATCGACTACATAATCGATGCGATGGATCCCAACGATGGAATTCTCGTCGGACCTAAAACAAGACATACAAATATACATACATACACACATACATATATATATATGTGTATATACACATTATTGTCGCAGGAAGGCGCTTGAAGAAGGCTGGGACCTGGGAGTCCAGCAGTGCCTACTTTCAAAGACCTGTGTGTGCTTCCCCGAAGCGGTTGCAGACCTCCGTGGCAGACGTGGCGAGGGGAGGTCTGCGGAGACACGCCGGGCCCGCCTCTCACCGACACGCCCGGAGGGCGTGACAGGGATCGAGTGGGAGATCGATTGCAGAGTTGGTGTACAGTCGGGGCCCTGAAGAAGGAACCCTTTTCGTTGGGGAGGGGCTCCGCGTTCCTCAAGTGTTTCGCAGCTTGCCTCAGATTTTTTCTTAGGTTTATCGATGTAAAATCAACGCTTGACTTATGGAAAAAAGGGGCCTCGTTTCTTATTTAGGGTTCCTTAGGTCAACGCCCCGACTGTAGTTGCCCCAAAAAGTTGATGTGTGCAGTTGGACATTCGACACATGCGTGGAATGCTCCGGAGATCTGCGGAGCATTCCACGTATTTTTTTGTCGTAGGTTCGACGGGAGTTCCAATTTCGTGGGGGCGTCAAGTCTGCAGTCGATCCCTTGTTCGATCCCTGCCCCACCCCCATACGTGTCGGTGGGGCGGGCTGGGCGTATTAATTTACCCCAGCCTTGGGATGCTCATCGAATCTGCAGACCTATCCTGGTGAAGGACACAGCCACACGCAGTTGAGAACACCGCGTTGTGGGACCGCTTTCGGTGGAGCTCCCTTTGAGGCCACCGCACGTGCGAGGGGTGTGCCGAGATGGGCGTCGGGGAACCGCATGCGAGCCCTGCCGCTGGGGCCTTTGGTGGAGCTCCCTATGAGGCCACGAAGCGCATGAGGGGCGTGCCGAAATGGGCGGGGAACCGCCTGCGAACCCTGCCAACGAGGCCTTTGGTGGAGCTACCTATGGGGCCACGGATCGTATGAGGGGCGTGCCGAAATGGAGGGGGAATTGCATGAGAACCTTGCCAACGGGGCCATCGGTGGAGCTCCCCTTTGGGGCCACGAAGCGTGTGAGGCGCGTGCCGAAATCCACGTTCGGACGGGCAGGGGACAGGATGGGAGGAGGGAAAAGGGGGAGGAGGAGAGGAGGAAGGAGACGCGGGGCGCTGTCTCTTCACATCGAGGACCCAACACCGCATGCTGGTCGGGGCAAGAGCGTAGCATGCTCCGTAGACCCACGGATATTTTCTGTATGTTTCGCAGATTTGACCCGCAATTCTAATGTTTCGAGTGCAATTCTGTAGCCGATCTCCTACTCGACCCCTGTCCCGTCCCCGCGATGTGTTGGTGGGGCGGGCCGGGCGTGTCGCGGTAGACTTCCCCACTATTTCTAAGTCTGAAGCTTGAGGATTGCAGCCGCTTCGAGGATGTACACGCCGGTCGTTGAAGGTAGGCATTTTGTTGGCCCGCAGATCTAGTCTACTTCAAGCGACTTCCAACTACGCGACTCCACACATATATATATATATATATATATACACATGTATACATCTATTTAAGCATATATGTATGTATATATATATATACAAGACAGCAGTGCAGCTTCGCGCCATGCACCTTGGTCCTTGAAGTTAAGCATGCAGGCCGAATAACAGAGAGGTCAAGCCGACAATTTAGCGATAATTCCTTGTTTTCTTTTCGGGCATCGCCGCTATACTAATGTTATTCGTTATCCTTCCTTCATGCTTAGTTTTCTTTATTTACTCCATACCCCGCGCATTCTCCCCATACTCGTCAGCTCTTTTTTGCGAAGGCTCCTCCTTGGAGAGCCTCAGGGGGCATCGCAAAAGTTGTTTCATACTTTCTTAAGACCTCCTGGGCGTATTCTGGGGGCCTGTGGGAGCTTCCTCGGGCCACCCTGCCTCCAACCGCGGTCTGCCTGAACGACCGGGTCACGATTTGGAGTGCTTCGGATGGTGTCTTGGGGCCATCTTGGGCCGCCATTGGGCTCTCTGAGGGCCATCTTGGACCCATGTTGTGCCGTTTTGGGGCTCTCTTGGACTGCCTTGAAGCCCTTTCGGATGGTTGTGGGGCGATTTTGGAGCTTCCCAGGCGGCTTCGGACGCCCAGAAGACCGCCGTCTTGGAGCGTCGGGAATCCGAAATTATAGCCGGAGTGCAGTATCCCCAAACAGGGTTTTTAGACCCACTGCGGTTTCCAAGGTCGATTGCGTGCCCGCCTAGTGCGGGCTGGCATGGCATGTTAAAACATGCCTCCTCCTCCTCCTCCTCCTCGTCCACCTCCTCTTCATCCCGAAAGGCATCTCGGAACCCAGAGTTGCGAGGATGTCTCCAGCGTAACGGGCTGGACCACCTCGCGCGCGGCATTTCGGACCCCAGAGTTGCGACGATGTCTCGGGCGAAACGTGCTGCGAGGAAGTCTCAGGCGAAACGGGCCGGACCACCTCGAGCGCGGCGTCTCAGAGCTCCGAGTTGCGGGGGCCTCCTGGTGCCTCCTGGGGCCTCCTGGGGACCTCCTGGGGCTTCCTCCCGGGCCTCCTGTGGCCTCCTGAACTCCACCTGAGGTTTCCTGAAGCATCTTGGGGCTCCCAGGGGGGATATCTAACCTGTGGCCGTTTGGGCCTCTCCAAATACAGGGGGGGGCCACAGGAGCAGGAAAAATCAACGAATCGACACCGGATGTGTATTAACTTGACACGTTCTGATAGAGGGCCTCCTGGGGCCTCCTGGGAGCCTCCTGGGAATCTCCTGCGGACCCCTGGGGCCTGTCCTGGGCGTCCTGCGGCCTCCTGAAGCTCTCTGGGACCTCCCCCTCCTCCTGCCTGCTCCCTCATGCACATCATCCGCCTCCTCCTTCTCCCTTCCATCTCCTCCTCCTCCTCCTCCTCCTCCTCCTCCTCCTCCTCCTCCTCCACCTCCTCTTCATCGCGAACGGCATTTCGGAGCCTAGAGTTGCGAGGATGTCTCCAGCGTAACGGGCTGGACCACCTCGCGCGCGGCATCTCGGACCCCAGAGTTGCGACGATGTCTCGGGCGAAACGTGCTGCGAGGAAGTCTCAGGCGAAACGGGCTGGACCACCTCGAGCGCGGCGTCTCAGAGCTCCGAGTTGCGGGGGCTCCTGGTGCCTCCTGGGGCCTCCTGGGGACCTCCTGGAGCTTCCTCCTGGGCCTCCTGTGGCCTCGTGAACTCCACCTGGGGTTTCCTGAAGCCTCTTGGGGCTCCCAGGGGGGATATCTAACCTGTGGCCGTTTGGGCCTCTCCAAATGGAGGGGGGGGGGGCACAAGAGCAGGAAAAATCAACGAATCGACACCGGATGTGTATTTACTTGACACGTTCTGATAAGCGGCCTCTTGGGGCCTCCTGGGAGCCTCCTGGGAATCTCCTGGAGACCCCTGGGGCCTGTCCTCCTGAACTCCACCTGAGGTTTCCTGAAGCATCTTGGGGCTCCCAGGGGGGATATCTAACCTGTGGCCGCTTGGGCCTCTCCAAATGGAGGGGGGGGCACAAGAGCAGGACAAATCAACGAATCGACACCGGATGTGTATTAACTTGACACGTTCTGATAGAGGGCCTCCTGGGGCCTCCTGGGAATCTCCTGGGGGCCCCTGGGGCCTGTCCTGGGCGTCCTGCGGCCTCCTGGACCTCTCTGGGGCCTCCTGAGGCTCGCAGGGTCCCATGGAGGATATGTAACATGTGGCCTTCTGGGCCCCCAGGCTGGACCACCTCTTGCGCAGCATCTGAGAGCTCAGAGTTGCGAGAATATCTTGTGCGAAACAGGCCGGACCACCTTGCGCACGGCATCTCAGATCTCAGAGTTGCAAGGATTTCTCAGGCGAGACGGGCCGGACCACCTCGCGCAGGGCATCTCAGAGCTCAGAAGTTCGAGGATGTCTCAGGCGAAACGGGCCGGACCACCTCGCGCGCGGCATCGGGGAGATCAGAGTTTCGAGGATGTCTCAGGCGAAACGGGCCGGACCACCTCGCGCGCGGCATCTTGGAGCTCAGAGTTGCGAGGATGTCTCAGGCGAAACGGCCCGGACCACCTCTCGCGCGGCATCTGGGAGCTCAGAGT